TTGGTTGGTTGGTCGGGTAAATCATCATCGTCGTCATCATCATTATCATCTTCGTCATCATCATCTTCATCGTCACTATGATAGTGAGTAAATGGATGAATGAATGAATGAATGAATGAATGAATCAATCATTCATTCATTCATTCATTCATTCATTCAATTAAATTAGTAATAAAATTGCTAATTAGATGCCCATCCAGAAAGCAAACGGAGAGATAGATATGAGGCCTATGATAAGATTGCGCAACCCTTGGGGATCTGAACATGAATGGAAAGGAAAGTGGAGTGACGGGTACACACACACACGCACGCACGCACGCACGCACACACACACGCACACACACAAGCATACACACACACATCACAAACATATAAATAATTACGTACAAAAATGAAAATTCTTTTTACTTTTCACCCAGCTCAGAGGAGTGGAACTCCATAACAGATGAGGTGAAGAAAGAGATCGGACTGGTCGTCAATGATGATGGAGAGTTTTGGTAATGATGCTACTACTTCTACTACAACTACAAATACTACTACTGCCACTACTACTACTACTATAACTACTATTACTACTACTATCACTACTACTACTACCATTATTTACTACTACTAGTACTACCACTACTACTACTACGACACGACTACTATCACTACTACTACTACTTCTACTACCACTATTACTACTACTACTATTACTACCACTACTACTACCACTACTACTACTACTACTACTACTACTACTACTACTACTACTACTACTACTACTACTACTACTACTTCTACTACTACTACTGCTATTTGTAAAATGTTAACAAATGCAACAAAACGTTACGAAAGTTGCGCCATATAAATTACAGTCATTCAAAGATTGATTGATTGATGGGAGATTGATTGATTCACGGCTGAATACATTACAATATACATTTACACAGGATGGATTTCAAAGACTTCAGTGACTGTTTTAATGACCTTGAACTCTGTCACCTGTCCCCAGATAACCTGGAAGATAGAGATCCAATAACAGGACAACCAGCCAAGAAATGGTGCATGAGTAGGTTGGATGGATATTGGAGAAGGAAGTTGAACGCTGGAGGCTCTCCCACAAATCCTGGTTCGTTCCCATTCGTTCCGTATTTATTTATTTTGAGATATGGAGTGGCGAGCTAATTTATCGATTTTTATTTTCTTAAATGGAATTCAGTTACCTCTTTGTAGAATAAAATTTGTCTGGGGATTGGTTTGAATTTTAAAAAGTTGATAACTAATTTACATAACCAAACATCAAATGTGGTGTCTGCTTTTGAGTTGCTGGTAAAACTTTCCAGAGTAAAGATGCTAACCACAGTTTTGAAATGAATTCTGAATCAGTCAGATTTTGATTTATTTAAAAGAAAGAATACAAAAAAAATCATCAGCTCAGCCTCAACAACCACCACAACAGCTACAACCACAACAAAAACAACAACTACTACAACAACCACCACAACCGCAACAACAACAACCACAACCACAACAACATCTACAACAACCTCATCTACAACAACAGCAACCACAACAACAACAACAACCACAACAACAACAACAACAACAACAACACAGAAACTTTCTGGATTAATCCGCAATATCATTTCGAAGTGATAGATTATGATGAAGATGATGACAAGAACGAAGGGACAGTCATCATCTCTCTGATGCAGAAAGACAGGCGAAAGTTGAGATTGGAAAATCGCGATAATCTTGTCATAGGATTTATCATTTTTAAGGTTTCGCTGGAGAAAACGATTTATTTTTAAGGTTTTTCAGGGTGAAAATATTAATTTTTTTTTTTTTTTTAAGAAAAATAAATAAATAAACTCATCTTTAAAGGTTTATTGAGAACAAAAATATATTAGTCGATTACCTAATATCTGAAAATTTGAATAAAACATTTAATATATTATAAATTAATTAACAAAAAAATATGTGTAAAAATATTTTATAGATGGATGGTCCGGCTAGCAGGCCTTTGTCAAGGGAACAACTCCATGAAGATAATGCAGTCGGTTAGAAGATTAGTGAATAATAATAATAATAAAATAATAATAATAATATTTTCCAAGATAGCACCTGATTAAATACACTTGAATTCTTGCATCACATATACATTGCATGTGATAATCAGGGATCCTTTTGTGATCGAACCTGGCCACTGCCTTAACCACTACGCCATCTCGTCGCTATGATATTTTTGCATTTGAATACTCCTTTAAATATGTTTTCAAAAGAATAGGCAATAAATTTTATAAAAATGTTAAAAAAAATAATTTTTTTTCAAACCCAGAGTGGTCTAGAACGTATACAAGTGCAAGGGAAATCTGCGTTAGAATGAAACTCCCACCTGGCAAGTTTTATGAACATTTCATACATTTCCATAAATTATATCTGTAATTATTGTCACATCAAAATAATTAAAATGATATTTGATAATATAATATCAATATATCATGATCCTATCAATAAATCATGATATCAGTATATGAAAACAGAGATGAAACAATATGATATAATAGATAAAACAATGTGATAGGAATATGTTTTTATCACATGATATAATGAATATATCATGATATAATAAAATGATATAAATATATGATACAATAGATGAGATACTTATATAATATAAGTATATGGATTCTAAATCGATTTCATTCACAATGAGATACCATAAATCATTGCTGTCTATCAAAGCAAAGACATTATCATCATCTTTTTCATCCTCATCATTATTGTCATCATCATCATCATCGTCGTCGTCGTCATCATCATTGTTGTCATCATCGTCAGCATCATCATCATCTTTATCATCATCATCGTCACCAACATCATCATCATCGTTATCATCACCTTCATCATCGTCATCGTCATCACCATTAGCATTATCATTCTTATCATCACAGGACATTATTGTTTGGTGCCATCAACTTATGAGGCTGGTGATGAGGGGGATTTTCTTATAAGGATATTCAGCGAGAAGCCTGTAGCATCCGGGTGAGTTATGATGACGATGATGGTAAAAATGATGATGATTGACGATGATGACGATGAGGACGATGATGATGATGATGATGATGACGGGGCAAAGATGATCGATGAACACGTTCATGATGATTCTACATCACCAAAAATAGAAAACGCTAATTTTAAATTTCAATTTTTTTTTTATCACGTCACAAATATTAACGTTTGTATTTCCTCTCTCTTATTGGTTTCTATTAGAAACCAACCAAACAGTGCTAACATGACTCATGTGAATACGTCATTGGCAGTGTCATCTCGTCAGCAAATTATATATTCTTTTTTTTTTTTTATTTTGTTTCAGTTAATGACACTCAATAATTTACTTTTTATTTTATAACTTAACGCAGACAAATTGACGATAAGACAGCCATCAAAGAATGCGAAGTAAGGAGGAAAACTTTTGAAAAAATATTTTGAAAAAAAAGTTGCCATTAATTGCTATTAATTTACTTTTAATCGCTATTTCAACTAATCACCCGCCAATTTTAGTTATTAAAAATTAATAACATTCAACCATTTGAATATCCTGCCATATTTGAATATCCCGCCATATTTGAATTTTCCGCCATATTTGAATTTCTCGCCATATTTGAATTTCTCGCCATATTTGAATTTTCCGCCATATTTGAATATCCCGCCATATTTGAATTTTCCGCCATATTTGAATATCCCGCCATATTTGAATATCCCGCCATATTTGAATTTTCCGCCATATTTGAATTTCTCGCCATATTTGAATTTTCCGCCATATTTGAATTTCTCGCCATATTTGAATTTCCCGCCAATCAGAAAGAGGACCTCGCCACGATGTCCCTGAGACTTGCGTTTGAGAAAATAACAGGGAAGGATGGAGAGATGAATGCTTACCAGCTTCAAAACCTCCTCAAGTCTGTCTTCAGCATTGGAGGTTTGTGGTGGCTCAGTGAATAGAGTGCCTGGCTCTTGCGTCGCAGTTATCTTGTTCGCCTGCAAAGAGATTCTCACATTTTTTTTCAAATATAAAAATTTTAATTGCACTTTATTTACACGTCTATGTGGAGAAACGTGGTTTGTTTTAAAATTAGTTTTTTTTAAATCAAATTAATATTAAAATTAATTAAATTTATTCATAATAGGAAAAACACAATTCATCCTTTTTGTCCTAAATACAAAATAAAATTTCGCAGAGAAGCAAGTTGATGGATTCTCAATTGAAACTTGCAAAAGCCTCCTGGCCTACAGAGATGTTCGTATCTTAACACTTTGTCGTCATTATTAATATTATTATCTTTTTTCTTCTTCTTCTTCTTCTTCTACTTATTATTATTATTATTATTATTATTATTATTATTATTATGATTGCATACTACGTCAGCGAGATGTTTCCGGCAAGTTATCTTTCTACGAGATGAAGCTACTGTGGGATGACGTCAAATTTTGGAAGGTTACCAAAGATGATTGATAGTAATAATAATATTTATAAATATTCATTAGTCATCGTAATAATGAATAGATTATGATTTAACTATTCAACAATAAAACACAACGAAACAAACACAGACACACACACGCGCGCGCGCGCACACATTAATTGGAATCACGTGAATCTAGTAGGCAACTCTATTACTAATATCATCATCATCTTTATCATAATTTTCATCATCACTATCACCATCATCATCGTCCTCATTACTATCATCACCATCATCATCTTCGCCATCATCATCATCACCACCACCACCATTAGGTCGCTTTCGACAAATATGATGCTGACAAAAGCGGATCTTTCAACAGCTACGAGCTGAGAGAAGCTTTGTATAATCTGGGTTAGTTATGATGATGATGATGGTGATGATGATGGTGGTGGTGATGATGTTGATGATGAAGACGATGCTGATAATGATAGCGATGATGATGATGATGATTTGTTAATCCCGGCTAGAGTGAATGTATTCATTCGTTCATTCCGGCATTGAAAAAAAAATTAAAAAAATTTGTTAAAGGTACTTCTTCCTCTTAAAAACTCATCATCACCACATCATCATCATCATCGTCGTCGTCATCATCATTATCATCATCATGACATCCTCATTAACGGCATCATAATCAGGAATATCAGTGAGTCAGAGCACGTTCAACGCCCTGGTGCAGAGACACAGTAGTAGGGAGGATAAAATCTTCCTCGATGACTTCCTCCATCTCATGGCGAGAGTCATGACCATGTTTGGTCAGTTACTCGTCCGATGATGATGCTGATAATGACGACGATGATTGTGCTGTTGATCATGGTGATGACGAGACGATGACGACGACTGAGATAAGGATGACGATGACAATAACTATAATTATTATAACTACGTATAATTGTAAAATAATAATAATAATTAATAATAATAATATTAATAATAATAATAATAACGTCGCATAGATGCTTTCCATGATAGGAAAAAATCCAACGATACTGCTCCATTTACACTGGATGACGTGAGTGTGTGACTGCATTCCCCGTCGTAATTATCATAATAATTATCATAATAATTATCATAATAATTATCATAATTTTTATGAATATTAATGCCGTCGTCATTCCCTGTCGTAATTATCATAATAATTATCATAATTTTTATGAATATTAATGTCGTCGTCATTCCCCGTCGTAATTATCATAATAATTATCACAATAATTATCATAATAGTTATCATAATTTTTATGAATATTAATGTCTTTGTCATCTCCCGTCGTAATGATCATTATAATTATCATAATAATTATCATAAAAATTATCATAATAATTACCATAATAATTATCATAATTTTAATGAATATTAATGTCGTGACGGTCAAACTGGTCGTCTCGTCATTTTCTCGCCATTCTAACATCATCATCATCATGAGTGTCATAATAATAATAATAATAATAATAACAAAATCTCACCCATACACAGTTTATGAAAGTAACCATGTATTCATGAGGGGATAACATAACAGACGGAACCACCCAATCAGAATAAAAGTTAACGATGACGTCATGATCATTATATATATATATATATATATATATTATGTGTGTGTGTGTGTGTATGTATGTGTGTGTGGGTGGGTGGGTGTTGGTGTGTAATAAATTTATTCATAACCCATAATTTAGTTAACATGGATAATTCCTAACATCAAGAAAAATGGCTCAATCGCGAAATTTCAAACAAAAATATTTTATCCATATGTATATATTTCTTTGCTACTTTGCTTCATTTTTTTCTTTTTGTAGTTTTTTTCATATTTTTAACATCTTTAAACTGGACGTCATTTTGAGATGATGTAGTTGTTAGAGGAGCCTAGTCTAACATTGCAGTGACCGTGTTCGGCTGCATGGACAGCCCAATGGTCTAATCCAAATGTGTTCCTCTGAAGAATACGGTACAATAGATTAACATTGTTTCTATTATATAACAATTGTACTAGGTTATAAATTTTAATCCTAACTGGCCTACAATTCAAATAAATTTTTTGCCACGGAAATCCTTAGTGGATTTTAAAATTTTCAAAATATATCTTACATCATTTTTGTAAGTTTTTGGGGTATAAATTTTTTAAACTGAAATGTTTTTGTTGATTCTCTTTTGGGAAACTTTTAAAAGTATTGAAAAGGTGTGCGTGCGTGCGTGCGTGCGTGCGTGTGTGTGTGTGTAAACGTGTGTGTGCGTGTGCATGTGTCTGTTTCAAATTAACGTTATGAACATTGTTGTTTACACAAAATCAGTTGAACTTCGCTTTCACAGAGCAAATTGTATTACATCCCATTATATCCCATGTCATATCGTTGTATCTGACTCTATATTTAAAGACATCATAGTGTTTTCATATACACAACAACAACAATAATAACAGTTATAATAGTAATAATAATAACAATTATAGCAACAATAGTTACATATATCTATGGTCTAATAAAATCATTTTCAGTAAAGTGCATGTGTTTATTTTTCTGACAAAAACTGAGAAATTATTTTTGTTAGAAATAAATTTTAATGAAATTTAGAAGAGGCAGAAAATGATCAAAATGAATCAGAAATATATCTTTCTTACGGTACTCGTTGTGAGTTCAATGTACGTTACTAACAGTAGAAGTCTTCCAGAGGGCTACAATGATGAGAGCACGCAGACCTGTTTGGCGCCAGAAACAGCAATCCATACTCGTCCGGGTTACATTTTAACGATTGATACAAATTTTAAATTTTTTTCACATGAGGAAGTACCAGGTTTAGCACCTAGTAGGTAAGGTTACTCTGACGGAAACTCCAAAAATGCCGATATTACATTTTTTTAAGAATTTTTATAACCGATACTTGCATAGTTTCAACACTGGTTTTAATGATAAACGCGGAGTAAAAAAATGTGTGCTAGGAGGCTAAAAAGAGGTGGCTAACTTCAGATAATAATTAATTAAATTTCAGGGGGTCCCCATTACTCCCTAAGCTTCTATACATTTTTAAATCCGGCCATAATAATATAATTTAAGAGCGGCTCAGTGGTATAAAGGTTTAGTAGTCTGGCACTAACATCGCAGCGACAGGGTTTGAATGCAAAGATATTCCATTCAGTCTATTATATATTATGTACAATAAATGATAAACGTTTGCTGGTAAGATTGTTTATAAGGATTCAACATTGATGTAAACAAATTAATAACTCAAATGATAACTTTTAATTTGTCAAAATTATTATAATAATACTGATAGCATTATCACTGAATGCTTAGACGGAAAATCCTTCTTCTATTTTTACTTTCAATTTCAAACAGCAGCTCATTTTTGACATTTTCGACAGAAGTGAATGGATTTTTTTAAAATCAACGCCATTACTATTATATTACACCTAACTATAATTAATATTATCAGAAAATTATTATTATATTTAATAATTATATTACATATTTATTATATTTCAATTTATATTATATTATATTATAATTACATGTAGAACAAATCGATCAAGAAGTGTTCATCACTACTGCAGTTCCTGCTTTCATCCCAGCACCTCTGCCGACTTTCATCATCTACGTGCCTGACGAAATGGTCCTTCCTGAAGAAGAAATTATATTATAAAAATAATAATATAATATTTTAATAATTAAAACCGGATATTTCATAATGACGCTGTTCCAATTATTATTAATAACTTTTATGACGTCATGATTTATAGGCTTCGTAACGTAATAGTGTTATTGTAGTTTTGTATGAAAGGCGTCTTTAATATTTTTATTTGTCGAATAATTTTTTTTTCTTGTATGGTTTTACATTTCTGTAGAGTTCAATAGTTGTTCAAATTAGTAAAGCTAATTCCTCAATTAATAAGATCAATTTTCATCATTCAATTTACCATTTCTTCTTCTGCTAACTCTGTAGCTGCGATGCTACTGCAACTACAACTGCTGCTACTATTGACTGCTAATGCTACAGCTACCGCTACTACTACTACTACTAGTACTACTACAACTACTACCACTGCTACTGCTATTACTACTACTACCACTACTACTGCTACTACTACTACTACTACGACAACAACAACTACTAATATTACTTCTAATACTACTAATATTCCTAAGGCAACTATCTCTACTACAGCTTTTACCACTATTAGCTAAACAAACTGATTTCTATTAAAAATTCAGATAATGAAAGTTTATTTATTAAACACAACTGTAACTAGATCAATCGCTCAATGTTTACATTAGAAGTTATTTTATCATATCAGTTGTTTGACGTACTTATCAGATGTTTATTAAGTTTTGACTAATTAATTATTAATTAATTGAGTGAATAATTAATTTATTAATTAATTCCATTAAAACGCCCATGTTATTTATGGATTGTTATTTAAGATGAGTGTCTATATAAGCATTGGCGTTCTGTGCTAGCTTCGATTTATCGGCGGAAAATATTTTCCAGGTGCAGTGTCTGATTTCGAGATAAGAAGTTTTTCATTTACGAATTTATAGCAGTTAGTCCAATAATGTCTAAAACATTTTGTTTGAATTGTGAATTTTCATTCAATAACATTTAAATTTACGTTCGTTTAAATGGTTAATGGAACGCTGTAGTCCAAAAAGTATAATTATTATTTAATTGAATAATATTTCACATTGCAGATATTAAGAAATAATAATTTAAAAATTAATTAAAAAACCCCACAGACAAACAAACAACAGCAGGAAGAACAATCAAACAAACGAGTGAAATGTTCCCTCAAGCATCCTTCCTCATTCTCACTATCCTCCTGTCCTTGAACCTAATCACGAGGGCTCAAGAACCGCCACCGCCTGGGCCACCAGCTCCACCATGCCTTCGCGGACTTCCAGGAATTCCCGGAATACCCGGGCTTCCCGGATTACGAGGACCATCTGGTTTACCAGGAATTCCGGGCCCTCAGGGTCCTACTGGCGATTCAGGATTACCGGGGGTTCAAGGTGAGCCTGGGCCACCAGGACCACCAGGACCACCCGGTCCACCGGCTGCTAGATAAATTGATAAATGATTTTGATGGTGCTTAATGCGGTTGCTGCTACTGCCGCTTCTCTCACGATGTTGAAGTTCTTCTGAAAATGACAGATTATAACATATTTTTAATTTGTTGAATTATGATTATTTTAAAAAAATGCAAGTGGCTTGAGTAATTTGTCCATGAATTTTTGTTCCATCAAAATATTAAAACGTGTTATTTAATGACGGATAAATGTTTGGAGGCAATTTTTCGTATCATTGAAATGATGCTTAACTCTGCAGAAGAGTGGAGTGATTTTATGTGAAAAGATTATTACGATGAAATTAAGAATAAAATATGTGAATGGAAAAGTTGTGAAATGTTATATAAGGTAACGGGTAACACGGACCAGAAAATACACAAAACTAATCTTAATGTCTTTCCATCAATAGAAAACATGGATTCAACTGTATAATTGCAAAACGCATGGTTTTGCAAAATGTTTAATCGGTTTAAAATGAATTTCGATAATGAAAACGACCACTTGAAAGAAATTTGTGATGAGGATGATGTGACTTCGAATCAAATTTGTAGGCCAGATACAAAACTGAATGAGCAAGACCATGCTAACTAAATTTATTGAGAACAAAATGACAACAGACAACTTTTTTTTAGAAGGTTTGTTTTTATCTGTGTTGCTGCTGCTGCTGTTTTCAACTGCCGAGATGGAAAAGATATTTTCAAGTAATTCTACTGATTCAGGTTGATGAATGTCGACTGAGACAGATTCAAATACTTCCATTTCAAAAATCAAATTATAATCACCTTAAAGAGTTGTTTCAAAAATTTCTCATTTCCTTGCAAAAACTAATAATTCAGTTCGAAGTTGATCTTTCGTTAAAACATCATCAAGTGTTTGAACAACCAACTTCTTCTTTTCCAAATTTCTGCAAAATTTCTTGGCTCTAAACAAGATGAAGACTGCCATGCAAAGAGAATCTCTGTTTTAAACAATTAATTACGTCAGGGGTGGTTCGGTCCGCGAAGCTATTTTTTTTATACGGCCCGCGAAGCCTTTTTCGTTAAAAAAAAGTCATCAGCCAGACATTATGACCCAAAAAAGGAACCACAAATCTTAAAAAATTCTTTCCCGAGTCGAAAAAAATTTGCTGTTTAAGTACATATGCGGCCCTCCAAAGGTAAAATAGTTCTCAGTGTGGCCCTCACAGCAAAATGTTTGCCCACCCCTGAATTACGTGATCCATAACTACTTTGTGAATAGTGACATGAAATTTTTTTTTCACACATTCAAGTGTCTGGTTGGCTATCGTTTTTCTTTACAAATAGTCTGCCCTTAAACGACAAAATTTTTTCTAGTTTCGAAAAATTCGTCGTCACTTGAAAAAAAAATGAAATCAGAAATTCTATCTGCTTCGCTTAATTCAATGATAAAATTTTGAACCATCTTGAAGGCTTGTCACGGAGTTTATTCATTCTAGTTGTTTGCAAGTGTTCAGCTAATTGCGTTTTGTCTTCAAATACTTCGTAAAATCACCTATTCAAACTAAGTTTTCAAACTAAACAAAAAACCAAAATATCTATAATATAAAAAGAAAGTTAAACAGAAGATGGATGATTCCGTAGCGAGCAAACAACGGATTTAACTCTGTGTTTATATTTTCTAACGATTTTAAACGCAATTAAAATCACTTTTTTAATAATTTATTAAATTTCCAAATCAAATTTTAAACCAAACATTAATTGAGTAGAAGAACAATTGTATCGCTGAAATGATTGATATAAATCTTTCTAATGATATCAGTGCAGTCTTCATCGATTGCTCACTCGTATTATAGCATTTAGTAACAGACGACAACTTTTAACTTTCAAATTTTAAATGAAATTTAATAAATCTAACTTTCTAGTTAAATATATTTCAATAGAAGTAATTTAGACTTTCCCGATTAAAAATTTAAGCGTGCAAATTTAAATTGTTCCACATTTTTATGACAAAATTATTAATTAAAGACCAACAAACACTTCTTACATTTGCTTGCAGTAGCAGGTCTAGAGGGTAGCAAACTTTCAACATTCTTTTCAAATTTGAAACCCCAGTCGACGTATTTTTTTTAGATCCGACACTGTTTGTTTATAGTAAATTAGCGTAAATTTCAAGAAACTACGTATAAACCCAATGCCAATATACCAGGTTAAAAAAATTTTCCTATTTTAAATTTATTTACAGATCGGATTAACAAGAATGACTTCTATTATAAGCATAACTATACCTTTGCAAACATGAGCGTAAATTTTGCTTGGGCAATTTTTACATTACATTTTTCAGATTTAGTATAAAATGGTCAAACTACCTATATTAAACTTCAACTTGTTGCTCCAACTAAAATTTGATAAACTAAATTTTTACTGTTAAATTTTCAAAATGAAACCAGAGCTTGAAGCAAAGAAGAATGTTTCAATAGCTGCCATCGATGTGGAACATTCTGCGGTTTTGGCAAGTAACACCTCCGAAGTATTTTAGGTTACTCCAGAAATCAGAAAGTAGCGGTGATTTGCTAATTAATTAGAGATTACTTTAAATTCTTTTCAACAAAAAAACTATAATTCATTAAACTTCAATAACTTTCTTCCATTTAATAAAAGCAAGGAATACTTTCGATCCAATTAGCAAGCCTTCCAAAGCAAAGTTAGAATTCCAGTCATTCCAATTGACACCTACCTACACGCGCCAACCAATCCAATAAAAGCACTTTGTTATAATATTGCGGTGGTTTTGCTTTAGCTAATTGGTTTCTTTGATGACGAAACTTCAAGTAGACAGGCGTTTGTAAAGTTTGGTGAATGAAGTGAAGTTGGGTGAAGTAAGATTGTCTGATGGATTGAATTTTAAAACAAAATTTGTCCTTTCTAACATTCATCACCGTTGGTATATAAGTGACTGATTCCTCTGGACAGTATCGTTCAGCAAGTTTCCCGGTCAGATATTTGTGGTCTCAAGTTGATTTTTAAAAAGTCGTTTAACTGATTTCGAAAGTTTCAATTCGTATCACTAACTATTTGAAAAACTGTTAACATTTCTTGAAAAGAAGATTTGATCAAAACTTTCATTCGTTCACTCAAACTTCCAGCCATCCATTCCTTCGTAATCTCTATTCATCCACTTCGAACGGACATCTTGTCATACATTCATTCATTCATTCATTTATTCAATCATTCATTCATTCGTGAATTTTATTTATTCACTCAATCATCCAACCATTCAAACACACAACATTCGATCAACCAACCAGCTGAGCAGCTGAACACACGAGATTCCACGTGTCTCAACAAATTTCCAGTTGCACCAATCATGGCTTCTACCCAGTTAGAAAATCGCGCGACAGATTCGCAGCCACCAATTCTAACAATGCAACATCCAAGTGCCAATGGAGCCAGCAGAATAAAAACCGTTAGACCGGTTACCGTCAAATCGGTCAAACGCGGACAAAGAAACGGTTCTGTCGACTCTCCGTACCGAAGTGTGGACAACATCTACATGAGGAGCACAAGAGGGGCGTCATCGATCAGAAGAAAGCAGGTCGGTGCCGGTAGGAATGATGGGGAGGATGAAGATTACACCCATTATCGGTGCCTCCATCGCCGCTGTCGTTGTCAGCGCACCAACTTCCACCAGCGACTTCCCAACGCTCAACACCACCACCGTCAGATGGAAAGGATCAGCAGCCGCTTTGGAGAAAGTAAGGATGGGCTCAACCAAGATGTGGTCGATGATGTTAGTGGCGTTAGAAACTACGACAACAACGATGGTTCCAACAACAACAACAACAATGTTGATTGCAACAATAACAAAGATGATCACAACAACATCAACATCAACAACAACATCAACAACGTATTAGATTATCCATTAGCAGACACCATCCATGAAACGTTTATAGATTGTGCTGGAAAGAATGCAACTGGAAGAGAGCACATTGAAGTGCATACAACTGACCACAACAGCATGGACAACATCAGCATTCAAGTCATAAACAACATCGGCAACGAAAATAAAGACAGCTTCCACAACAAAAAAAGCAAATCAACTTTCTCCATCTTCAACATCGGTTGCAGCAACAAAACAAAACCCAGCAAACCAGGCAGGTACAAAGAATCGAAATTCTCAAAAAAATGCAACAGCACATTTCTTTTATTGAAGGCCAGTTTATCCAGGCTCGATATTTCAAGGAACAACAAGGCAAATAAAGCAGAAGATGAACATGACATCAAGTTTACCGACAGCAACATCAGTGACACGAACGGAAATGGTAACATTAACAATAACTTTACTACTGATAATAACTTTAAAACTAACCCAAACAGGACCGTGCACAAGAACCAAGACAGCCTTCCTCAGAGGAACAAGGCAGACGACAAGGCTGCAGAACTCGATTCATCCTTGGACGGAATGTTGCAAATGTTGACCGACAAATGTCTGACCAAATTGGGAAAGTCATACAAACCAATGGTAGAAGTTGTTGGCAGCTGCAACAGTCTGGCTAAGTCAGCAACGACGAAACATTGCGGATACTTGAAACGTCACTTTCTCTCGAAGCATCTCGTCTCCAGCTGCCAGACTCCAGGCCTGTACGTCTCCTGTCTCCAGTCCCGCTCTGGAAAGTTACTCGCCACTTCAAACAACATCCTTCCTACGGTCAAGGTCAATGTCGATCACGTGGCTGACATTGAAAATCATTTCTATTGGCTGATGAAGGCCAGCAGTGATTGGCGGTTAGTGAAAAGTCTGAAATCCATCTTTAAAACAGAAATCGGAGTTTCAAAGAAAATGGATACAAACGTCAGACAGGATCAAGATGCATTTGCGATCAAGTATGCCATTTTGAAGGCGGTTCGTTGCCTTCAAAAACTCACAAGGAATGAAGACTTGGGAAAACTGCATTGCAGCGTTTTCAAAGAGAACTCTTCTTCAGTGTTCTTGTTCGTCAATGAAATTCAAGATGCCTCCTCTTCGTCTTCCTCATCCTCTCCATCACCATCATCATCCTCACATGTGTCCTTGTCACCTCTGGTCTGGATGTCCATCGATGACCTATCGTCATCATCATCATCACCATCTTCATCGTTGTCGTCATCACCATCAAAATTGCCACTGCTCAAATGCATAGCATCGAGAAGTTCTGACATACTGTCGATGAGTGAAGGAGAGTTGAAGGAAGGAATGTACGTTGGCTACCTAAAGTTGTCCTGCCGCGTGCAGGGCTTGGACATCCTCGTCTCCAAACAACATCTCTCCAGCTTCCCTTCCGTCCAGTTGGACGATGAAGATGGCGTTGATCGAGAGGATAACTTCCGGATGCTAATGAAGGACACCGGCAAACAAAACTATGAAACTGAGTTCCCCGTGATGGAGAAGCAATTCAAAGAAATGCTGCTATCCAAGTGCAATCAACTCATAGATGCCGTCGACACGCAAACATCTGCTGCAACCTCATCTGAAGCTGATGATGAAGTTGAAATCGCTGTTGAACCAGCCACTCCAGCTGCACATCGTCTCAACAAGATGACCTTCACATTGAACAACCAGGTGACCATGACCTTGCTAGCACCACCAGCTTCTCTCGTCTGCCAACTCCTGCAAGACCAACTGCCCAACCCTCCACCATCCTGCACCTACCTCCCACTCCGAACTTTCGAGATGATCCATCTTCACGCCTACCAACCACAAATCTACCGAAAGTTCAGCAAGTTGTCGACCATCTTGAATTTGCTATCAGAGGTCTGCAGACGTAGAAAGTTGATCCTGGAAGCTTCTGACATCAGTGACTCACGTGACGAGGAACTGACCGAGCTTCTGGAAATTTCCGCCTGTTCACAAGGCATCCAACGAGAGATGATTGAAGCTCTGGCAAAGAATCGCTGGCTGGCTGGCGTCATCAGACAAGCTCGTCTGCCGTCTTCGAAGGATTTTCTACCTCTGATTGAACTTTTTTGAAACAATTTTATCACTTTTGATTCATGGAAGATCTGTGCGCACATGTGCATACGCTTTTATTCATTTGTCATTATTTTTAAAGTTTTATTTTATTCTTCATTAACATTTTAATCTTCATATAAACTTTTCATGAGTCTTTTTTTCACTGTTTAAATTTCGTGAATAAAACTTATTAACTGAATTATAGATTGATAATACTGATGAAAAATAATTAAATGTGTGTATGTGTGTGCGTCTGCATCCATTAAATTTTCAATGGTGAAGCAAACGTTAGCCCGTGAAATCCGACTTTAAGATCGGCATACAGAGCTCCATTGTTTCACTGAAGACTAACAACAACAAAAACATTTCATAAGTTACTCAAAACATTGACTCTGTCTATTAAAAATTGTCTACATTAAGTCGTATACACATTCACACAACAAATGCACGTACCACAAACATACAAACAAACCACAAATCTTAAAAAAATTCTTCCCAGGGTCAAAAACCTATATTTAACTACCTATGCGGCCCTTCAAAGGTAAAATAGTTCACAATGTGACCCTCACAGCAAAAAGTTTACCCACTCATGATTTATTACATTTGAAACAAACTAATCAACATACATATAAAGTTTGATGTCATGAAATTATAAAATAAGTTTACTTAGATTACTGAATATCTATAGCATGAAGATTGTGTTTTTAAAGGTTTTTCATTTTAAATAAATTATTCAAGACAAAATAATAATTACCTTAATTAAAAAATTATAACTATCTAATGGTCTTGTATAGGCCATTTTATTGCATCGTAATATGAAAAAATTCACTTTAATAAACTTTTCAAATTAAAGAAGCATATTTTCATATGGAAAATATTCCATTGAAGAAGAACTGATTGGTTTTCGAAAAATTTCTCTTATCATAAGTTAAATTTTGCAAATCATTCGCTAAATGGCAGTTATATTTTGTTTTAAAATTGGTAAAATTTACATGATTTCTTTAATTTTAATTAATTTATAAAATAAAATTTTAATATTTACCTCATTAATCGGGATTTAGGTTGAATTTGATGAGATTAAGCTTCAAGATAACCAACAGTAGATGGTTAAAAAATGTTTTGATAGAGAAATTTCGATCTAAAATAGATTGTTATTCAGTTATAAACAACACCTAAGAATGTGAAAATGTTAATAATAATGATAACGTGATTAAACAGGTAACATAATATAACGTAACATAACAGTAGTTCAGTAGATATCTCGTTTTGGAACCACTGGATCGATTTTTACTAATAATATAGAATTAAAATCCAAATATTCCAAGTCTGACTTTGAACTCCTGAGTTGTAGAAAGAGTTACAGCTTTTCGTCCAGTTTATTCCAATGTTCAATAACTCTCGAACTGAAAATCTAATTTAAAATCTAAAATTCTAATTTTATTGTTCTAATTTAAAATCTAAATTCTAATTTCATTGTTCTAATTTAAAATCTAATTTTTAATTATATTGTTCCTACTCTTTCTTTGAAAAGCTTGTACTGGTGCCCTCTTGTGTTTCTATTTTTTATATATGGGAAGAATAGGGATGAATCTCTCTCATCTTTACCCGCTATGATTTTGTACGCCCGAATAAGATCTCCTCTAGTCGTACGTTCATCCAAAATTGTCAGTCCACATCTTTTCAGACCCCAACGAGGAAATATGCGATGGAAAATATGGAAATGAAGATGGCTGTGAAGAAAGGAAGTAGATAAGGAGGAAGAAGACACTGGTGACGACGACTTTGAAGTCGAAGCAACCATGAAGATGACGACGACGACGATGATGAAGAAGATGAGGATGATGACAACGTTGACAATGACAAGTGGTGTTTTTATATTCTGTATTATCCTCAAGGGATTTCCAGACTGAACCAAAAACATCGGGCGCAACTAATTTTAAAACCAGTGTCTCTGTACACATAGAGTATGGACATTTTTGATGATTTGTGCACGTGTAGTGTATGTATAGGTCTACGCACAAATCTAATAATACGAAAAACATCTCAATGGTCCTATGTACATAATTTTATGTCAAATTATAACTTTGAAAAAAATATGAGAAAGAGAAAGAGAGAGAGAGGAGAGAGAGAGAGAGAGAGAGTAAAAGTGAAAGTGAAAGTAGTTGAGAGAAAAAATTAAAAAAGAAGTAATTCCAATAAAACTTAAAACATGAATTTAAACCTTGAACTGACTACCTACAGAAGCGTACAAACAAACTAAATAAACCATACCAAACATAGAATACACACCAAATGTAGAATAAACAACAAATAAACAATACAAAAAGCATACAAAGACACATTTTATTCTTTTTTTTTACGTCTAGAAAAAAACGTCCCCGCTTCGAGGAAAAATTAATTTTCTTATTTTGCATTGTTTTTTTTACACGTTCACCTACACGTAGCAAAACATTTCATTGTGGCAAGCATGCGAATTCGATTGTCTACAATTTGTTTTATTCATTCTGTCAATGAAGTGAAAAAAAGCAGTTGAAAAACTCGTAAAAACGTTTTTCTGATGGTTATAGAAATTTGCAGGGAAAAAAAAAAAAATTTGTAAGTCTTTGAATACATCAAGGTTTGACGCTTTGTGCGTGTGTGTGTGTTGTAAGTGTGTCTGTGTGTCAATGTGTGTGAGAGTGTATATATGAACCATGTACACACACACACACACGCTGATACACACACACACACATGTACACACAAATATTTATATTATCTATATATGCTATTTATGCTCAATCTTTCATATGGAATTACCAATCAAGAGACAATCCATCTCCATCTACTGGTTTCAAATGTGTTTTCCAAAATTTTCATCTCTCAAAATTTTTAGTCGCTTTCATTAACGATTTGTTTGTTGTATGAATGTTTTTCATTCCAATATACACAACATACATTGATATTATATATTGAATGGCGGTTGATTTTAATTTTTGAAAGAATCTAGTTGTCAAATTTTTCTGAGAAAGACAGACAACAACGCAAACAAAGACAAACACAAACAACAACACAAACAACACAAACAAAAGAAACCAAAAAACATATACAACAACAACAAACATAGACAACAGTACATCAACATGAACCTTACGCAACGACAAAAATATCAATATGTACTACAGTACTACATAAACAACAACAACAACAACATAAACAACATAAACAACAACAACAACATAAACAACAACAGCAAGAACCAACAACAACAACTTAAACTGATCAACATTGAAGGCAAACACATAAACATGTAAACATTTACACAAAGCAATTACACGCATAACATAAACGGCATAAACATAGACATAAAAACAACAACGCAAACAACAACATAAACGACAATGCAAAACGCACCCACGTTATGACGTAACAATTACATAAAACACAATCTTAACCAACATTGCCGAAATAAACAACGCCAGCATAGCTATAATAATAAAAAAAACCAACAACGACAACAATAACAACAATAACAACAACAACGACAACATCAATAGCAAACGAAAAACAACAATAATAAAATATAATTTAGACATGTCATTGAATTTAGACGAACCGGAAAAAGGCAAGTCTAACAAAAGATTGTAAATCGATCAAGACTCACGAGCGTTTATTTTATTTATATAGCGCTTTGTTATTTTACTATATTATGTATTGATATATCTAGGCCGACATCTATTAATATTGAAAACATCTCAATAATATTGAGTTGTATTGTATTGAATTGTATTGTATTGTATTTCATTATGTTGTATTTCACTGTGCTTTAATTCATTGTGTTGTATTTCATTGTGTTGTAATATATTGTATTTTATTGCATTGTATTGTATTGTGTTGTATTTTGTTGTAATTTATTCTATTGTGTTGTATTGTGTTGTATTGTGTTGTATTGAATTGTATTGTATAATATTGCATTCTATTGTATTGCATTCTATTGTATTCTATTGTTTTGTGTTGTTTTGATTTGTTGGAAAATCTACCTGGGGACAAAATTGAT